GAAAGAAGCCAAGTATAGGACTTGGTATGAAGGCCCAAAAATCATTCAATAATTGGAACTATGTATGTCTTTAAGAACAAACTTGATGAAGGAGGCATCATTATTAGAAACAAAGCATGACTAGTGGCAAAAAGATATAACCAGGAAGAAGGTATAGACTATGAAGAAATTTTTGCTCTAGTTGCTAGAGAAGCAATTCGTTTACTTCTAGCCTATACATTTGTGAAAGATATCAAGCTATACCAGATGAATGTAAAAAGTGCATTTCTCAATAGCTATATCCTTGAAGAAGTATATGTTGAACAACCACCTAGTTTTGAAGATCCTAAAAAATTTGATACTGTCTTGAAAATGAAGAAAGCTCTTTATGGACTCAAACAAGCACCTAAAGCCTAGTATGACCAATTGAGTTCTTTTCTTTTAGAAAAAGGATTCAATTGAGGTAAATTTGATACTATGCTCTTTATAAAAAGAAAAAGGGATCAATTATTAATTGTTAAAATTTATGTAGATGATATTATATTTGGTGCAACAGATGAATCTCTATGTAAGAAGTTTTCTAAGTTAATGTAAGGAGAATTTAAAATGTCTATGATGGGGGAACTAACATTCTTTCTGGGACTACAAATTAAGCAAAGGAAGGATGATATATTTGTGTGTCAAACTAAATATCTTAGAGAAGCTAATGGAATTGATACTTCAATGAGTTCAACCATCAAAATGGATGAAGATGCTGTTGGAATAGAATATAATTGAAAATCATATAGAGTGATAATTAGATCTCTTCTATTCTCACATGAAAAAATAAAATTAAAATTAAAATTTTTTTTGTTATAACATGAAAAACTAGGGCAATTTTGATAATTTTTTTATAATTAAAAATAAAATTAAATTAAATTTTTGCTTAGTAAAATTCAAACTCTAGACCTTTATCAAATTATTCTTAATTTTAATTTAATTATACATATTTTATTTATTATTTATTAAATTCATGTCTTAAAAATTTTGAGATATCACATAAATCTAGCTAAAATAAATAAATATCAAATAGATTTCAAGGTAGATTTTGAAAATAATATGCATATTTGAAGCTTATATTTAGGAAATTATTAGGATAGATAAAAAATTTTAAAATCAGATTCTTTTTTCTAAATATATATATATATATATGTATTAATTAGAATTCAAATAGACAGATATTTTCAGAAAATATCCTCCACACACATGGCAAATGACTTTTAATAAATATAATTTTAGAATTGTATGAAAAATATTAAATAATGCTTTTCAACATATATCTAGGGTGGATGGAAACTTTAAATAAATAGATATTAATTTAAATTTAAATATGATCATATTTGAATTTTAAATTAGTAAAAAAATAATTTATGTATACATCTAAAAATTAACAATTCATCCTGCAATTAACCCTAAACCTAAATAATAAATTTTATATATATTAAAAATAATAAACTATTCCGAACCTAACCCCAAACCTGAATTTGGAGCACAAAATCATAAGAAAGGCATCCTGAAGCACAGAATTGCAGCAAATCTAAAAATAAATATGTTGTATTTTTTCATAGCCTTTAACCATATTTTTATATATATAATGATATTGAAAACTAGTTACTTATAAATTTAGAATTCTGGTCATTTTCTCTCCACCCAACCTGCAATAATTCTAATTAAAGTGTCTAGACTATGTTTGTTGAGTGGAAATCAATATTGTTAGAACTAGACTAGACATTGAATCGATGAAGATATTAGTTTACTAAAAAAAATTAAAATTACTTATAGAAATAAAAATATTTTTGATAATATTTAACCATATCCTTATTGCATATATCAAATTTATAGTCAATTACATTAATATTTTAATAAAACTATTGTTTTTTTACCTTCAATAATAAAACTAATATTGTTAATTACAAATAACCAAATCATAAATTGTGCCACATTAATCATCTAATCAAACTAACACAAGCTTCTATTATTAACTAAAATCACCAATGAATTATCATATATATATATATACACCTCATATACATCCCCCCAAATAAAGAAAAACCAACGTATCACAACAAATAAAAACATAAAACAACATAATTTTGGGTTATTTACAGTTCTTAACTAATTCAAACCCATTTTTCACTGATTATTGACACTTCTATTTTTCAAGAGAGAAAAGGTATGATAGCAATAATATACTATTCAAATATTCACTATCAACTAATATAATACAAATTTGATCTAACTGCCTCAATTTCAATAGAACAATGGATGAGCAATTAAAGAAACAGAAAGCAACTAACAGGAGTTAGGTCTAATAGAATGAAGGGGGGGAAAAAAAAGGAAAGCAACTAGCAAGCACTACTTAAAAGAATAAAATGAGATGGTAATACTAATACTTATAGGCAGCGTAATGGCTGGTGATCGGAAACTTTTTTTTTTCATAACTAAAAAAAAATTATGATCATACTCATATTTGGACCTTTTCAGTAGTTTTTGCCACCCCCCTCCTTGAAAAGGCCTTTGTCATGAAGGAATCATGTATGCTTTTCCTGGCTATGAAGTATTCTAATAAGGGCCTAGACTTGTGCCGTGTTTGGAGGGTTGTATCATAAAATCTCATTTATGCTTTAAAGTTTTGTGATTATGAGAATGGTTCTTACTTCTATAATATTTGAGGTGAAATATTCTTTAATTATACCCAAAGTCAATAGTTAAGACTATGGTGAAGTAAGCCAATGTCTTATTTCATTATTAATCGATAATTATAATTTTTATGAAAAGTATAATTTATTATGGACCTTTTCTTCATTTTTAAATTGTCATAGTTTTATTTTGTTTCCAATTAATCAATTACTTTTTATTTTAAAATTTTCCATTTTTAAAATTCTCTTATACAGTTTTTCTGGCAATAAGTCCTCATAGCAAAAGAGGATTTTTTTAATCTTATTCTCTACATATAATTAAGTTTTTGGTATTTTTTTTTTCAATTCTCTATCTTAAAGTAGAAATGCTACTATATGATATCTTTCTTTACTAAATCAAGTCTCGCTAGAACTTTAGAAATGGATACTTTTTTTTTTTTCTCACTTTTAGAATACAGAATATTTTGTTTATAAAAAAAAGAATAGAGAATATTTTTTATTTCAACTATGCAAATTAAATTTAAAATTTATTTCTTTCCATTTTTATCTGATGTGAGCTAAGTTGATCTAAATTTTTCAAATTTTAGTCTAGTTAATTAAACCAAATAAAATAACTTGAGTTATATATATATATATATTGCATAGTAAAAAAATCTAGGATTTTAAAGACTACTTTGACCCTTAAACTATTTTACAACTAGATATCCTATATTATATTATAAGGTAATGCAAATTAATTCAAGAACTAAAAAAACAGCATCTCACACCATTCATCTACGGTATCCAAACGTCCGTTGCTTATTTTTAATTGTGGGGCCCATATTCATTACAGGTGGCTCCTTCTCAAGCATTCTCTTTCGGGCTTCCCCTCACCCCTCAACACTTGTTGTGAAGAATGTTCCTCCAATTACGGGGATGAAGCTTAGTGTTCAAACCAAGCAAAAGGAATCTGATGCCTTCCTAGCTTCAATCTCACAACACCGAAGCTCATCACAAGGCAGCAAATCTTAGTTTCAACAAAGCACTGCCTCTAAATGTGGACTACAACATTCAACATATATTTAATTCCAGTTAAATTTAACTTGAAGCGTTAGGCAATCTGATCGAAATTGAACATTGATATTAGCAGTTCTTCATTTCCAACCTTACATCCTCTACTGCTACGTCGATTCCATTCCCTTCACAGTGGCCGAGTCCTCCGTTGATTTCTGCTGCCGTGTAAATGAGGAACGATGGAATCGAAAAAGGAAGAAGATTGCAAGTGAGGAACTGAGAAGAAGAGACGCTCAACAGAATGAAATATGAGCCAAAGCAAGTCAAGTCCTCATTGAGAAGGGGAAGGGAAGAGAGTCCTTGAGAATGGGCCATCTATGATGAATGTGGGTCGCGCAGTAAAATTAAACACAAATTTGCACGCCATCATGGAAGGTGTGGGTGCTATGATTTAATTAATTTATAAATTAATTCACAACACCTCATAATATAGAACACTAGTGCTACTCAAAAAATATAGTTTAAAGGCAAAATTAGTGTTTAACCCTAAAATATAAATATTGGAACAATTTGATAGATATTAACTGTAAGAAGGGTGACCAAGTCGAATCAAGTTTAACCCAAAATAGCCACTAACATTACAAATGAGATAAATTAGAAGGACTTGGAGTAATGGAAAAAAAAAATTATAGGGCCAAAACATGTTAAAATTATGGAATCATTTGTTGTGTTTTCCCTTTTAAGTATCATCTTATATATATATATATATTATAAATTTTCAAATATGGTCAAGTTAGTTATGATACCTATCTAATTGTTATAAAAAATTATGATACCTTTTATATTTATCTAATATACTTAACTGTAGAAACTAGAAAGAAGTCATATTTTTTCCTCAAAAATATTTTACGTTTTATTCTCGGCTGCCAGCACTATAAAATAACACCAAAATATTATGAGATATTACCAAAACCAACAAAGATTACAGAAAGTCAACAAATTAAAGCATCAAATGTTAATGGTTCTTTGTGATGAACTTAATAGTATACATAAACAGAAATAATTCTCTTTTTTGGTATATGTGAAACTTATTTGTATTTAACATAAGATATTATTATTTTTAATTCAAATTGCATGATTTTTATTTCTTTAAATTATATTCAGACATCCCTTAATTTTTGTAAATTTAATGATAAATCCTCCAAATTCTTAAATTTGCCCAGTTAAGCCCCCACCATTAACTAGTTTTTTATTTAATTTGTAATCCAAATTGCGAGAAGATAATCATCTAGTAATGGGTTTTTCTCTTAATAGTATAAATACAATAAAAAATCATCAAACTAACCACAATTTAAAAATAGATTTATTTCATAAATTAATAGGTTAATTCTCAAAAGCATTATTAAGTTCAAGTAGTCTTGCCAAACTAGCCCAGCCCAATAAACAAATCATTCATATGTTACAGAGCGTGCCCGCGATCCTTTCCACGTCCTACGCCTCTTTAACTTCAACGAATATTTTGGTCCTTTTAAAGAAAGCCCGAATCCTGAGAGTTTGGGATTCCAATGGTCGTCCAAAAGAATGTTACTTGGTTCCACATTACAATGGACGATGGTGCGCTTGGTTCCTACGTGAAGGTAGTGTAGTGCACGCGCTACTCCTATGCTGATCTCTAGCCTTGTCTTCCTTGAAAGCGTTGGCGAGTTGCTATCCCTTTCGTGAAGTTGATGGTGGAGGGATCCATTATGCATGAACTCATACACCACCATCATTTCATCTTTAAATTCATCGTCACAAAATCCAAGGAGGGACACCAGATTCGGGTGGTGTAGCTGGCACATAAACAGGATCTCGTTGACGAATTCAGAACGTGCTGAGAATAAATCTCGAGAATTGAAATGCTTCACTGCAATTTCTATTGGTTGGCCATCGATCGAGATGTGACCTCCGTATACCTCACCAAAACGTCCTTCATCGATTATTTGGCTTTCGTCCAAGTTGTTGGTTGCTGCTCGAACTTGGGAAAGAGAGAAGCGGTGGGAAAGCTCTTCTACGGTTGCGGAAGGTCTTTTAGTAGAAGCAAATCCTCGAAAGCATTTGGTCAGGAATCCCATTGGAGGGGTGGTCAGCAATGAAAGTGTCGCATATGGTGAGCACAAAAGAAAGCAATTTAAAAGCATGAGGACGGGGTCCACGCGGAAGCGGATTCGGATCCTGACCCTTAGATTAATCTTATAGTTGGGAGAAATACAAGTGTAAAATTAATTTACTACTTACCAAAGGTTTTTTACCTGGACTCTTCATCTTCTTAAGTCTCTGAAGAAAACTTTCCCACAGAAGGCGACGAGCCAGCTAAATCAACGACCATCGACTTGTTAGCTATTGGAAGAATAAAATCGAAAGGTTGAATACCTATAACATTTATACATACGTACGGGAGGAGACAAACACAAATGAGCAAGCATCGACATTATTAAAATGGCAAGTTCTTCTTTTGCCTGCGAACATCAAGTGCTCTGGGTTTCATCTTAAGGTCAAAGGTTGTGAATCTCACAATTTTCTTTGTAAGGTCGAAGAAAATTGCGTAGATAAAGAACGGGAGATCAGTAGTTGGGTGAGGGCCGCAGTGATTTAAAACCTGGACCGGTCCGGCCGTTGTTGGACACCTTATCGGCTCGTTTTTAGCTTTGGACCGTTTGAAGAGTTGCCCTGGGTTGAGGCGTTCAGAAACAGCTTTTGAACAGGGAACCGGGTTTGAGCCACGGAGCTGATTGAAGGAAACCAGACGGCCAAAATAGAAGAGGGAGAAAAAGGGAAGGAGAAGGAAAACTGGACAGAAAGAAGGAGAGAATGGGAGAGAAAATACACGTATATCTTAATAAATAACAAAACAAAAAATTACCATGTATTTATGATGTGAGAATGGGGCGACGTTGAACAAAGAATATATGGGGACTGATCCCGACGGTGAAAAGAAAAATGAGGAGGATATTAAAGACCTTAAAAATAAATTTTATTATAATTTAAGTTTAAATAAATTTGATATTTTTTTGTAAACCTTAAGGCTCTTATTGTCAATTTTTTTGAGACCAAAAATATAATTTTGTCTTTTGTTTTGAATTCAGAATTTGCGTGAACTTTTAAAACAACGAAATAAACCATTCACGATATAACATTCATTATGCGCAAGAGAATGTTCACGCATTTCAGCAGAAAGTTCATGCATTTCAAGTATTTCACTAGCCATGGCTTTAGCAAAAATGACTAGGCAGATCATGTATGACACAATATTTACAATGCATAATATGATGTCCACGTGTGCTAAACAAAAAATTTATACATTTTTAATATTTCACTAGCTTAGGTTATAACATAATGACATTAGGTAGACCATACACGACACAACATTTACTATACACAAAACGATGTCCACGCATGCTCAATAGAAAGTCTATGCATTTTCAATATTAAGAAGGACAATTACATCATATATGAATAATTTCATGTTAGTATTAGCCTAGGTACTAAAACTAGTACCCATATCAAATTTGATATAATATTTCAAGTCCAATATATACAAAAAGTTAGCCACTATATCCAAAATATCTAATAGTTGCTTCTATATATACAAACAAAAAATATTTGTGATTCTCATTTACTCAAAAAAATATTATTTGAAAATACTTTCATATACATAATTATAGTTGCTTGTATACACCAAAGAAGTATAATGTAACCACTTCTCATGCTGAGTTAGGATTCTTGCATGTCTTGCGCCTGTGTCCGACCTTCCTACATCTTGAACAATGATAAATCTTCTCATCTTAAAAGACTCTATCCTCCTTGTTTGTAGCCTCCTGGGATGACAGCTAGTTAAAGACAGTTACAAGAAAAAAAGTTTGTGATATATTTTCACCTAAAAGTCCATGTGATTTCAATTTATCATTATACTAGGCTTAACAAAATACTGAAGTTAGGCAAATAATACATGATACAATATTCACTATGCACAATAGAAGGTTCATTTATTCTTAATTAAAAGTTCATAAGATTCTACTTTATCAGTAAGCTAGGCTTGGCAAAATGCACAAGTAAGCAAACAATGCACAACACAATATTTACTATGCACAACATCAAGTTCATATATTCTCAACTAAAAGTTCATACGATTATACTCTATCAATGAGTCAGGCTTAACAAAATGCACAAATAGGCAAATAATGCATAACATAATATTCACTATGCACAATATAAGGTTCATTTATTTCCAACTAAAAGTCCATAAGATTCTACTTTATCAATAGGCTAGGTTTGACAAAATGCAGAAGTAAGCAAACAATGCACAACACAATATCCTCCATGCACAACTTAAGGTTCATATATTTTCAATTAAATAGAAATTATTTTATTTTCAAAATGGTAAATTATTTCTTAATTTCTCTTCAAAAAATATTTTTACCAACTTCTTATAAAGCCCAAACTTTATGGACTTTGATTTCCACCACAGGGTATGTGGCCCTCAGAGTCAGATTCTGAGTCAAGTCCTCCCTGTAAATAAATAAATATTTCTCGCTTAATTGTTATCATTTTTATATCAAACACATGAATATAAAAAGATAATTAAAATAATTTTAAAACTATATTAATATCGCACAACAAACTTTAGGTAACTGTTCTCACGAACGGGTATTGTGGGGTGCCTAACACCTTCTCCACACTCAACCGACTCCCGAACCTTTTTTTTCTGAATTCACAGACCACCCTTACCCACCTTTAAATGGTTTTCTGAGATTTTCCTCAAAATTTTGGTGGCGACTCCCGTTTCTCCGGTCTTCCTTCTGAAGGTTAGGAACCTCCGCTCTCGCGCCGTCCGCGTTGCATTTCTGGGTGTGACATGTACATTATGATTAGATAAAACTGATATGGCTCAAACTCTCTCTATATCCTTTTTTGACAAAATCAAACTGATAGTGGCAGATGCAGCACTTGATCCATTCTTTCCACACTATAGTGAATCATTTCAAGAAGCTGGTTGGCGTGAAAGGAATGTAATCGGATGAACACCTGATCGTCTTCTCCATACCCATCTGGATAAAAGTAAATTGCCCACTCATACCTGTTGAACGAAAAAGCTTCAAATGAGAGAAAGAAGGAAGAAAGAGGAAGAAGAAGAGAGGGAATAGAGAAGCATATATGATGGGAAGGAAGATGAATTTGATTATTATATCAATGTTGAAAGAGGAAGAGAGAGAAGGATGAGGGAGGAAGAATGGACAAAGAAGAAGCTGGTTATGGGAGGGACAAATTAGTCAAAATGAGGCCTTTAGGCTTTCAAAATAATTTCAAAATCTATTAGGTCTTATCTGCAAAATTCTTGCTTTTTAAGGCCCTTAATGCCATTCCTCCTAAAATATAAATAGGTTGGCTGGCTAACTGCAAAAAGAAACTGTGAGATAGATGCTATGGACACAGTTGTCCAACACTTTTAATGTCTCGTATTTTATAGTTAAAATAGATTTATTTAATAAAATAAAATTAATGGTGAAAATTGAAAAAAGAAGGAAAAGTGAGAGAAAAAAGAGAGTAACCCTGTCCCCATAATTGTACCAACTTTAGTCTTTTTTATTATTAATATACTTTGATCTTAAAAGAAACTGAAAAAAAAGAAAAATTGAAACAAAAAATAAGATGAAGGAGGGTTTTTATCTTTTTACATGCAATGATTTAATGAGGATTGAAATGTGTGACAGGAGAATACTGAAATTTTGCCGCACGTGTCTTTATTATATTCAAGATTCAAATTTCAAGTGCAAAAAATATACCCTAATTTTATTTATAAATCAATTTTAATATTTTCATTAAAATTTAAAAAAAATTTAAACTTTGTCAATTCCATTTAATTCAATAAATTTTTAACTTTACCCTATTAAATATATAATCTTTAAAGATATAATATTCTAGCATTTAATAACTTTTTCAATATTTAATAAAGACAAAAGGGTTAAAATGAATACAATAATTATTGAGGTGCCCTATAAATAAAATCAAAATAAATATTTTCTTTCTATGTTATAAATAGAATCATATTAGTATTATCATAATAATTATATTGGGTACTTATTTTTATATAAAATATAATATTATCTAAATGACTAAATTGGTTGAATGTATTTTTTTATTTTTTAAAATTTTTAATTATAATAATTTAATTATGATCGACTGAACCATAGTATGAAATTAAACTATTTGTTTTTTAAGAAATTATTTAAAATTCAATATTTCATTTCTTATAGATATTATATAATGTTACCAATTTGATTGTCGGTCTAACTAGTTGAACAATAAAAATCGTGATTTACTAACATTTCCAATTCAATGTCTAGCTCAATCTAAGGCAAGCATCTCTAAAGTTTGAATAGTTATTGATTATGAATACTGTAAAAGGAAAAGATGTGAAATTCCTAGATTTTTTTTTTTTTGGTGCTTTGGTGGCTACCTCTTCCTACTGGAAAAAGAGCAAAATGGGCCTATATGGGCTCAAATTCATAAGCTCAATTATTCAAAAATTAATTATTTTTAAAGCTTGACTCTTATTCAAAAGGCTCAAGGTCATGCTTATTAGCCCTTTTTTTAGCTTTTTGAATTTTTAAAAATTAAAATTTTAATTATAATATTTCATATTTCTTTTAAAATACAAATTATAAAGTTCAAAAATTTAAAATAAATAATAAAAATTCAAATTTTTAAAAATAAATAAATATTCTAAAATTTAAATTTAATTCAAAAATTAAAAAATATTTTATTTTTAGAAGTGAAATAAAAAAGGGCGTCAATTAGTGACCCAAGCTTGAGTCTTTTTTTCGGGGTTTGTCATAACCAAACTTCAAAGCTTGTTTTTCCGTAAAAATGTTAATTTTTTAATCTTAAACCCTTATTAAAAAATGGGCTTAAATAGATGCTTAGCAAGCCCTATGATGACTTATATCATTATCTACTAAGGCTATGCAAAAGTCCTCTAGTCTAATTTGATCTAGTCTAACCTGAGACAAACTCTGTCTTGTCTGGTCCAGATAAAAATTAGTCTTTTAGAACTAAAAAGATCAGACTATTTTTTTTTTGGTTGAACTGAATAAGAGACCAAGCATTTAGATCACTTGGTTCGGTCTAATCCTATAAATTTATTTAATATAATTATAATTGATTTATTAATTATTATCACAATAAGTTAATTTATAATAATAATTAGTATTTTTTTGGCTTTATACTTGTGAAATCATGAATTTTGAGGAAAATTCTAGCATTGAACAACCTCAATCTTCTCCTTTTATTAGTGAAATTTGTTGTCAATTTGGTATAATGGACTTTAGACATATTACAGGTTGTTTAAGTTATTGAAGGTAATTTAATTTGAATCATTTATATTGTAATTGAAATACTTTTTGTTGTTGTTGGAGATTGTTGTATGTAATGTCCACCTTGACATTACCAAAATTCACCATATAATTACAACAAACAATCATAATTAGGAGCAAGGGATTGCTCCTAAGCTCACATTATATATATAAGGGTTAAAACTAATAATCATTTAGAAATAATTTTGGAAAATTTAGGATCCTATAAAAGCCCTTTAAATTGATAGTTTGAGCTCAAGCTTAATGATTTATAAAGGTATTGGAAGCATGATAAAGTTTTGGGAAGCAAAACACTTCAAAACAAGGCCAAAAATGTCATTTTTGAATGTTTTAGTCCATGCACTATGGCTCGTGGTCTATGCACCATGGCATGTGGCACAGAAAATCAAGTTTGCTCACTGTACCATGTGTCG